ACGAAAGCAAGTTGTTGTGGAATTGTTGTGAGTACCCTTTTCAAGACGACAATTCAGTGAAAAGACGGACATTATAATGCCGTGGAGGGCGGCCGGGCGGCGTGTCTACAGAAGGTCCAGTTGTGATAGACACGGTTCGCCACTGTCCAAAGGCCAACCATGGTGTTCATACCTTTGCTCTCATCTTCTTTGTCTGGCTTGGTGAAAGGGAAAGCTGTGCTCACATGGACACAGTCTAAAATAGCCAACAGGATCTTCGTTAATCTCAGCAGGTCACTGAAGTTGTAGAAGCCAAAGTAAATCAGGTTCCTGGCCAGATTCACCACCTGAACATGGAAAACAGATTCATTAAAGGCTTGCAGGGTTTCATAATCAAAACATGACCTGAGTGAGATTACATTAGATTACAATGTGCCAGGCTGACCTCAAAGGTGAGCTTGTTCTTCTCTTTATCTGCGAAAGGGAAGCTCTGACACACCACGTCTCTCAGGTAGTTCTCGACAAACTCCATGGTCTCACAGAAACGCTCCTTGATTTCATCTTTAGATGTTCCATCATTGTCGTAGCTACAACAAAAGAGCAAGACATTAAAATAATCAACAATGCACAAAATATTTAACAAACAATCCAGTACATCTGTCCAATCACTCACTCATCAATGGCAATCTCTGAGGGGATCTCAGACCAGAGTCGAGCGTATTTGACAGGAGTGACCTGCTCCTGAGGATCACGGTCCACATGCATGTGCAGCATCATGCGGCAGAAGGATGCTCGCAGATCATAGGGCAGGTCCTCATCCGACATGCATCGCAAGATCAGGTCCACATCCAGCTGGCCAGAGATCTTGTTGATTGCCAGGTACTGACGGTCCAAACACATCCTGGCAAACAGGTTCAGCTGGTACCTGCAGCAGCAAATACACACAGGGGGCCTATCATTTAAAAACAGCTATCATTTTGTTTTTACCTTAACATGTGAGCCATTCAGCATTTACTAGTATGGATCCGGCACCTCATTAATGCCAAGTCCGATGTGGGTTGAGCAGTATCTCAGTACCTACCTGTAATAACTGATCACCTCCTGGTCCTCCTTCTGGCCCTCCTTGGCATCCTGAGCCAGCTCCCTGATGCTTTTACTGCGGATTTCTTTATTGCTGTCGTTCCAGAACAACCACACCTCCTCTTCGTCCTCCTCTGACTCCACAGAGTTCTCCCCGAGCGGCGCTCCCTCAATCTCAAACCTCGAGAGCACAAGTCTGAAGGAAGAAGGGATTATTTATGTTTTGGTGAAAAGGCTGCTGGAAGTAGATGAATAAAAAAGCTTCAGGATTAGGATACAACAACTGCCAATTTCCTTACACTCAACCTGAGAAGCTGTAAAAGAAAAGAAAAAACAAGGATAGGAATAGCTAGTAAACACATCTGCAGTGCTATACAGATATCTTATTATTATCACATTATGGCTGCGGTAAACAATTACCTACATTATTGATTAGTCTACTTTTGGAGCTTAAGGTAATATCTTTAAATGACATTAGGAGGCAGATGAGAGAGATATAGGTGGAGGCAGAGAGGGGGGGTTACACACTTAGTTTCTATGAGGATGTCTGCATTAGCTGGATCCAGTACTGCGTTACAGATGAGCTCCTGGGTCACAGGAATGGACTTATTCATCGACACACACAAGTCTGAGAGGTAATCCAGGAACCTGGACACAAAAACAAGAAAAGCAAAACGTAATTACCCATGATGCTTTTAAAAGGAAATCAACCCAAAATCAAATCAAGTCCCGGAGATATTTAAAAGCATTCAGTAATTTCCTTGCAGAGTGAAAAAGGAACCAATTTATCATGGTTTATTGTGTACTCTTCAAAACACAATTAAAGGATAATTTAGGTGCACATCTTAAAGTTGTATGTTACATTGAATTGTCTTTAGTTGTCAGTTGCTGGCTGTGGAAGTTTTTGTGTACCCTCTGCTTGTATGTATTGGTGAATATTTTGTGCATACATGTGTAGAACTAAATGCAGTTTTGATCAGAGTATAATAAGATGACTATAAGCACATTATCTTGGGAATAATTGTATTGTTTATTGTGGCTTTATACCTGTATCAGCATGTGAATGTTGTACATACTGTAAGGAAAAACAGCACACAAACCTGGGCTCACGGTTCTTGCGGACCAGACTAACAAACGTGTCGATCTCCGCAGCAGTGATGTGTTTCTCCAGCAGCTTGCGGTTGTTATGGAGCAGAGCTGTGATTGTGTCCTCAGCCAGAACATCATAGCCAATCTGTTTCTGCATGAAGCGAAACTGCTTGGCGATATACTCCTGCGAGACAGACAGAAAAACAGTCTGAGCATGCAACAACTGAAACAAGATGACACAGACACTGTGGAAAATGTTATTATTTACCAAGCCACTATATCTTTATCTCTTTACATTCTCCAGGGGGACTATAACCTTGTTATGTCTTTATCCATCACTTATATTGACTGAGGCAATGTTGACCCTTGTTCATCTGTATGCAGTAAAACAAGAGCATGTTTAGAAAGACAGAGACGGCTTCCTTAATAAAGCTAATTAAATGACCCCTGTAATCATTAGATTATAATGTGCTTAAGAGGAATCGATTTCTCATGGGAAATGGGAATGTTGCTTTTCACATCAACACACAGTTGTCATAGGACAAGCTCATACCACTGTGTGGCTCAGCCTATTTGTATTAGCAGAACATTTAAAGGTCCCCTATTATACTGTTTTTCATCAATATATTAGAGTTCTCATACAAAACATGTCTCTGAAGTGTTTGGTTCCAAACACCAAACAGATCATTGCAGCATCCCCCTCTGTTTCAGCCCTGTTTCCAAAGTGCTGATTCTCTGTCTGTTACTTCAGATGAAAATAAGGAGCCACTCCCCACGCCCCTCTGAGAGATGTTTGGTTAAAAATAACACAATGGTGCTCTAGGAGGAGATTCAGGTGATAAGGGGG